ACCGTTGCCACAGCCAAGATTCGAATGGAGCACCTCCGGAATACACGTCTGCAGAGTTACCTGTACACTAACCTACTCAGGCTCACGTGTTCTTAACCTCCGTACTGGATGGAAGTGAGTGACCGGTCTCAATCCTCGGCAGGCTCTTATCCGGGAAGAAACCGGTACGCATTGGCTAAGAAGCGAGGTGCGTTCCCAGTGCGGTTCTAACACGGCGATGGGGAGAAATATCACTGTTCCCACCGGAAATCGAACCACGATTCTCCGGTCGTCCAGCTCATTTCATGGTCACTATATTTAAAGAACTGGCACCGCCTCTAGTTACTTTACGTTTGATTTTAATTTTAAAAATGCATGTAGCTTGGTCTTCAGGTGAAGATCCTCCAGAGAACACAGCCAAGGAAAGATGTTCGTGCTTGAGAGAACAAAATTGCGCCACATTTTCGACACGCCTACAGCCATGTGTGTCAATCCTGGGACACACATACACGTGACATGCGTGCTTAGAGCCGAAGTACTAAAACAAGTTCAGCTTCCTTCACTAAGAAGAAACCACATGAAGCCGACTCTTCCGTATAGAAAGGAATCCCGTCCCCTTATAATTACGTCCTTACTTGCTTACATTGCCCGGATATGTTGTTTCTTTTCTGGAACGCACCCCGAACCAAATATTCGCTGCAATAATTTAGGCCTACAGTGCGAAAGAACCACGCCAAGAAGGCATATTGAGGTATTTATTGAGGTGAGACTTTGGTCGCCTATCCCTGAAGAAGTAACCTGCAATAGCCATTGGGTACACGTCTGAGCGGGTTAACATACGATATGAAGCGGGAGAATTGTGGACAATGAAGAGCAGTTCAAGCAAGTTTTCGAATTCATACGATAATGTACTTCGTCTGCTGCCCAGAAACATAAAAATTAGAATATACAAAAACTCTAATTTTGCCTGTGGTTCTGTATGGGTGTGAACTTGGTCTCTGACATTAAAGGAGGAACCTAGACTGAGGGTGTTTGGACCGAAGAGGGATGAGGTGACAGGAGGTTCAAGAAAACTGCATAATGAGGAGCTTCATAATTTGTACTCTTCTCCAAGTATAATTAGAATGATCAGTTCAAGGATGATGAAGTAGGCAGGGCATTTAGCACGAATGGGGGGAGAGGAATACATATAGGATATTGGTGGGAAAGCCAGAGGGAAAGAGACCACTGGGAAGACCAAGGCGTAGATAAGTGGAGAATATTAAAATGGATCTTAGAGAGATAGAGAGATAGGTTGGGGTGGTATGGATTTGATTGATCTGGCTCAGGATAGGGACCAGTGGAGGGCTCTTGTGAACAAGATAATGAACCTTTAAGCAGACCTGCTTCATGTTCTGAAATTCTGGGGTTTGAAAATCGGCCGACAGGCAAGCTATCGGCATAACTCAAAATACTAACAGTATTAAAAATAATATCAGTATAATCACAACCAAACACCTGTAGACATGGGCACAGTGAACTCCCACAACAGGTTGGTAGTTTCCTAGCCAGATAAGCTATTATCAGCTTCTGAAGAAGGACGCTGCTAGTTGGAGTTCGTTATAACGAAAAGTCTGTGACGATGGTATATTAATACAACTATTAACTTTTTGGATATTATCTCGCCATATTATTTATTTCAAGATATCCAGAGACTGGACTCTGCACTGAACCTGAGGATGGAGACAGAGACGAGTCTCCGAAACATTTTTAAACAAAAAACAGGACGATGGATAATATCCACAGAAGTCAATAACTGAACAAGAATATCATTAATGAAGAGTTTTATCTTCTGTGATATAATGCGATGTAGCCATTTCGAAATTAATCGACGTTTCAGGGGCTTATATCACCTCCATCTTCAGGGTTGAAAAATATGCTAAGAAACCAGCGTGAATCATGTAGCACGCAGAGCAGATGGAGGTGGCATGTTCCTCCTAAGCTTCAGCTAAATTTCGACGGCCTACATGGCACTATATCCCAGAAGACGTAACTCTTCATAACCACAGCTGTGAGAACCTCCTTAAATCCCACGATATCATTAATATCTGTAGATCTTACGTTAATCGTTTCTCATATGCACAGCGACGTACAAAGAGAAAGCCTAGTTAATTTCTTGTACTGATGAATGGTTTTGTCGACATTAAATTCCATGTATGTGTAATTAACGTGAAAAATTATGTATCTCAACACACGCACTTATGTAATCTTGGAGCAGTAATGTTTACATTTAATTCCCTTTGTAAGTGAAAGCGTAGGGAGTCCAACAACAAAGGGATTTAAATATAAATGTTACTGTTAGATACTAATGTATACTAAGCAGTCTCCTTTAACACGTAATCCCCTGATAATTGCCCTATAGAACTGAAACATGTAAGAAATTATCAGACAAATAAAATTTATAGCTACATCCTATATTCAGTAGTTTTTACTACGTCACCATAAAGTACAGGAGCTGAAATGTCTCACACAAAAGTACTAGATCTATAAATTTTTTAAATTTGCTTAGTAAGTTTGTAATTATCTTGTAAGTTATATTATGTGTGTGAAAATTAAGTAAAAACATATAAAAGCCTACATTAAGGCTGAAATAATGAGGCATCAACTGCGTCAGTGGCATATTACTACAAGCCATGTCATTATTAGTTTCATAAATGTGAGAACAGTTCAGCTTCCTGAAACATAATCCTGTCCTGGAATCACAGAAGTTGATACTGCAGCACAACAATAGCCGGCAGTATTAATTTGTGACAATGGCTGACTTTAGAGATTTGCAGTTAATATATTACGTGACTTCAAAATAGCATGAAAACACAGTTCCTTTACATGGGTGAAAAGAAGGAACCCAGTTTCTACTCATTACCACTGAGATTACTAGAAGGTTAATTGTCGATTAGAAGCACAGTGACAATGTTGAATACTTGTACGCAAAAGAGCTCTTATACATAAGAAAACTCGTATCTCAGTCATGGACGACAAACGCATAAAATTGAAGGAAAATTTTCTAATGTGAAGCTGAAGAAAACACGGCAAAAAAACAGATACTCAATACAATATAAAGTATAGGCACCTTTCAAAGTGATAAATATTTCCTGGATTATGCTCAAGTACATTAACCACAGCAGTGCATACAAGGTAATTAAAATAATTAAAGTAGTGCAGGAAATAAAAACGACATCATATTTGTGAATGTAAAAAAAATACATTCAAACACCAGCACATCGCTGAAAATGTACACTATACTCAATAACCGGCAGAACTATCGTTATAATTCCAAACAACAACCAGCCATTCTAACAAATTCCATGATCCTCGCAGAAGAATCCTTCTTGAGAAGTTGATAAAAAAAAATGTAAGCTAAAGGTAACAGGCCGTGGAGGCCCATAGGGTTGCGACACGTCGAGGCTCCCACAATTTCTAGACAATCGGCTCACAAATGGAGGTGAGGTTGTCAGCCTCACGGGCCGGCCGCCCGTTACCCCCCAGGAACATTCATGGTTCTCATTCCTGTTAGAGGCAGAGTCGAAGCCAGAGCCATTTGAAAAATTCTATGACATCGGGAATGGAACCTGCGACCTTCAGGCTTGTAACACAGTGCCTCAATCAACTACGCTACCGCGTACACCTTCTTAAGAAGCCGATAGTAACTAAATCTTCAAGAAATTTCTCAGACTCCATATATTACACGAAGATCGATTGCTGTGTTCCCATGAATCCGCCCATGGCCCTTGCCTGAAACCTGAATCCACGTTGGATTTGTGGTTATCGCAGCGGTGACCACTGTCTTCGGGGATGAAACGCCGTATAGCCAGGCAAAAGTACTCGTACACTGGCCTTTCGGCACGTCCTGTTTTCCTCTTCTGGACAGAAGAGTTACCAAAACAAGAGACAAACAGTTTCTTGCTTGCTGTTTGCTTGGTTCATTCTTGGTCCTGAATATAGTAGCACTACGTTCCTCCGAAACGTCCGGATATCTATATTGGACTTCACGGCGCCGCTATATCCCAGAAGAATTCAGATGAATCTAACCCTTGCTGTTATATCCTTTTACCTAAAATCCAATCTACTATCCTCCAATCTTAGCTTAGGCCTCCGAGGTATTAAGAAACGTAACATAGGAAAAAGTAACATAACTTGCCCTAATATTTATCAAGTTGGTACTGACACAGAAACCCTAGTACATGAGCACTGGTTTCTGCCACCTAGAACCCCAGAATATGTGGTGGTAACTCCCTGAATACTCACACATTACTATCATAATAGATTTGCAAAGGAGAGGGGAAATGGGGGAAAGCGTACGAATTACTACGGACTCACAGAAAGAAAGGGGAGGGACGTGCTCACTGCCATCTCTATTCCGGCAGATTGTATGGGCCACGTGGTCGAGGAGATGGCGCAGTGATATGCCATTCCGAAGTTTCTGGAGAGGACAGAGGAATGTTGGGAGACTGTCAGTAGGCACTATATGAAACTGAATGTAACTTCATTTCAATTTCTCTAAAGTCCCAAATCGTTTTATATGTATGAGAAATGGCGAGATATGTTTCCTGCACTGATTCTGACTCAAATGGCCCACACGTAAAGGCGCGGTGGCTGGGTTGTTCGGGCAGTGCTCCATTCGAATCTTGGATGGGACAGCGGCTAATGTGATTGAGATTTCTCATGGTCTCTTCAAGCACATGCCAGAATATACTAGGTTTAGTCCATGACTACTTCCTTCTAAATCCTCTCCCATTTATCATCCATCAATCATCCTACCATTTTACGCCATACAGTCTAGTTACTGCCGTAAAATAACCAAAAATAGTCAACTGCTTCTAACCGAGACATTTTGTGTGTAGCATGATGAAATATATTGCACAATATAAAAAGTTGGGTTTTCGTATTCAGATTCCTTATATTCAGAGCTAGCCTATTCAGTCGGCGCAATATATCATAAACTAATTCAGTCTGGTAGGTAATTGAGCTTGTCTGTGCTTTACCTGTTGTCGGGTAGGCCTGCATGGCTGCTGAATATTAACCACACAAATATTTCCCTTCAACGTTTCACGTTTCTAAGACGATCGTATTCACTTCCTTATCCGTTCTTTTATTTCCAGCGTTCACAAGAAATATTAAAGTAATAAAACACACGTATCACACACAACACGACACCAGCCACAATCAGAATGTCTCGATACGGCAAGGTCAACGACGCGAAAAACATCCGCTGGGAGCGCTAGTACAACTGCGCACTACACTAGAGTACGGCAACCAACCTGAACAACAGATGATCAAGAGTTTATCAATGGCCACGCACTTTTAGTGACACTCGTTTTCTTTCATTGTAAGGCTGGCGTCAAAGGCCGCACCATAGCTCAAGCGTGTAGTCGCTGGCTTCCCACCGCGGCGGCCCGGGTTCGATCCCGGGTCTGGTCAAGTGGGATTTGTGGTGGACAAAGTGGCGCTGGGGCAGGTTTTCTCCGAGTACTTTGGTTTCCCCTGCCAATCTTCATTCCACCATCACCCTCACCTATCATCTGGGGCTGGTACAATAAGCCAGAAGTGGCCGCAGTACAAGGGACTTATTCCCACCTCACTAGCAATTAAAAAAAAAAAGCTGGGGCCACAAGAGCGCGCAAAATGCGTCCGTTGTACAAATAAATAAGAGAGGCGAATGTTGCGCTTTCTTCTGGCTCCATTGCAGACAAAAAACTACGCACCGCATTCTGCAACTGTGTGGTGTCCTCAGCAACGTCCGTCATAAAGTACGTTCGTTACAACGGACACATTTTGTGCGCTCCTGTGGCCCCAGCCTAAGATTCATTTGACAGTTCATACCAATGTTTATATACTGCACATAGCATGCGAATATTCAGGTTTACATTTCGTAACTTATTTTTATTTCATGTGAGCCACAGATTAAAATGTGGGATATCATTTGAAGATAGGTTGATTAATTGTATAGCCAGCTTCAACGGATGAAAATCAAAGGCATGTAGCTAAATACAATAACCAACATTTTTGTGGCTTATACAATTATTATAATTTTTGCAATAAATTAATTTTTTTTACAGTGAGGAAAACCTGCATAATGAGAAGCTTCATAATTTGTACCCTTCTCCAAGTATAATTAGAATGATCAAGTCAAGGTTGATGAGGTAGGCAGGGCATGTAGCACGAATGGGGCAGAAGAGGAATGCATATAGGATATTGGTGGGAAAGCCTGAAGAAAAGAGACCACTGGGAAGACTAAGGCGTAGGTGGGGGGACAATATTCAAATGGATCATAGAGAGATAGGACGGGATGGTGCGGATTGGATTGATCTGGCTCAAGATAAGGACCAATGGAGGGCTCTTGTGAACACGGTAATGAACCTTCGGGTTCCATAAAATGCTGGAAAATTCTTGAGTAGCTGCAGATTTGGCTTCTCAAGAAGGGCTCAGCTCCATAAGTAAGTAAATAAGTAAGTATATAATTATGAGATCTTTGCAGTGTGCGTCAAGAAGAACACGTAGGGACGGTTATCATTTTCCACGTATTTGTACGCGTTTCTAACCTTTGTCATGTTCAGTCAAGAGCGGCTGGGCAGACTGTGACGAAATTTTACATGAATGTTACGCCATTGGAGGCGACCTCAAATTCTAGGTTTTACTTTTGTTATAGTCGGTACTAACAACATGGCGAACGCATAATCTTGTGGGGTGGGAGCGATATTGGAAGATACTTGAGATGAAACGAGGTGTATATCATGTATAGATGAAATGAACTGACCCGAGAAAATTGTAGTAGGGCAGTTGTACATCTGGTACTTCAACATGAGGTTTATCTGCTCGATTTCCGGGGATTTAAGAGAATGTCACGTGTGACTAAAATCGAGGGTTTGGATCGGTGAGTCGATTTATTGGATATTCATTAGTCGTAACTACAAATAATTGTAACACTTTCAGAAATACTGTAATTATAACACATAAAGTCTTCTGTATCTGCTTACATTAGTCGTTGCTAGGAAACAAATCTAAACAGTAACAATTCCTCTTCAAAGATTTCCCTATCCGTTTCCTGGCAAGGGATTATTTAAACACATGAACTATAAATGTCACACTCCAGATAACACTCCACTGCAGCACTCATAAAATCTTCAAATCACATGTAAAGTCTTGTACTCTTTTGTACTCTTAGTTTCAATTCGCTCTGAACTTAAGTCAAAGTCAAAGTCACATTGCGACTGAAGGTCAGTCAGCCAGTCAGTCAGTAAACCTTGGTGTCGAGCCCCATCTGGAGCTCATGACCAGATATTTATTAATATTTGACAGTTGCGGTCTTGTTTTCGTGGGCGCCCTCTCTGACGAGAGGACGGGTCTGTCTTTTATATATACTGGTGGCTCTTGCCAGCGCAGTCTTTCTTTGGTTCAGGTCCCTTCGGACTCGTGACTATATTTTACTGTTTGAGACTTTCCTTTTTGTTGCTTTCTACGACTCCAGGGTCACGGTGGAGGTATACCTCTGAACTTACAGCTCACAGATCTCGCAATATAGCCACGGTACGGACCGCATAGAAAACCTAGTTCTAGTGTTGATGAAGTCACGGCGTTGTATATCACGGTCCGATACGAGGAAAAGTGTTTACAGATACATTGCCTAGTAACGGATTGCATAACCACGTTGTACCACTGTCGCTTGGCACAGACCGCATACGAAAAAGTTTCCCCTATACTGTTGCATATTTGGAAGTGTTTACTGATCGGTTGCCTGACAATGTTTTGATCAAATCTGTTACAACAATAAATCAGCTGGGGTTTCATGCAGCTACACCACATAAGACAGGTTAACAATTATATTTAGTTAGAGGTGGCACGGGGTTCTCCCGAACTGATCACCTACAGGAGAAACACGCAAGACAGATTATTTACTTACTTACTTACTTACTTACTCATGGAGCTGAGCCCTTCTGGAGGAGCCACCAATTCTGCAGCTACTCAAGAATTTCCCAGCTCTTTATGGAACCCGAAGGTTCATCACCGTGTTCACAAGGGCCCTCCACTGGTCCCTATCCTGAGCCAGATCCATCCCATCCTATCTCTCTAAGATCCATTATAATATTGTCCACCCACCTACGCCTTGGTCTTCCCTGTGGTCTCTTTCATTCTGGCTTTCCCACCAATATCCTATACACATTCCTCGTCTCCCCCATTCGTGCTACATGACCTGCCAACTTCATCCTCCTTGACTTACTGTTAAAAAATTTGTGAACATCTATAAGTTCTCCGCAGTGTATGCCTGTATTTTGCACATATACCTTGCCAGTTAGAATCAATATATATCTTCTATATCTGGTTTTAATTTGTATAACTTATCGCTAATTTTTGGGGGGGCACGCGGTAGAGTAGTTTGTTCAGGCACTATGCTACAAGCCTGAAGGTCACGGGATCGAATCCCGATGAGGTGGATTTTTTCAATTTACCTAATCTTTCCAGCCGCAATATGACCCTGGGGTCTACTCAGCCTCTAATATAAATGAGTACCAGTAATATTCCTGGGGGTACAGGGTGGCCGGCGCGTAAGGCTGACAACCTCACCGCCATCTGTGAGCCGACTGTCGAGGAAATGTAGGCCCCTCGACCACTCACAACCCTATGGGCCCCCACGGCCTGTTACAAGGATACCTTTACTTTTACTTACTCTTATCAATGATTATTAGAGCAGAGATTTCAAAGAGATGCTTACTTTGAGCTTGAAAAATGTTTCGTAAATAGAAACGTAGGCTTTCCTATTTGGATCCTCGGATGAACAAGGAAGACATCGCAATTCAGAGCTAGAGGTAATTGGTTTAGAGACTGATATATTCAAACTTGTAAATATTGCAGCACGTAGGCCCGTAACTGTGTGACGACCACGGAACAAACAACGAAACATCTGCTGCTAGGTAACAGATCCTTAATAAGGAAGTATACGCAGCCGTTACTGAGTAACGGCTTCGCACACAAACACGTCCCATGGAAGCGATTGGTGTACAGCAATAAACTGTTTTCTACGCGGTTCGTGCCAAAGGGTTACCAATGGGACGATTCTATTAGTGGCGGCTGGGTCGAATACCTCCACCGTGACTCTATGAGTCGTAGGAGTTGACGAAAAGGGAGGTCTCAAATATGAGACAGTAAAATATTGTCTCGAGTCCCAAGAGAAAGAGTCCTGAGAAAGACCGTGCTGATAAGGACCAGTAACATATACAAAAGACAGGCCCGTCCTCTCGTCAGAGAGGGCGACCCACAAAAACAAGACCGTAACAGTCAAACAGTAATAAATATCTGGTCATGAGCCCCATATGGGGCTCGACACCAAGACTTACTGACTGACTGACCGTCAGTCGCAAAGTGACTTTGACTGTGGCTTTGACTTTGACTTTGAAGTTACTCAGTCTGTGAAGAGAAGACTTGGTCGGTGCAGTTAGCAAAGAAGTGAGCGGGGAAACTTAAGAATTTCCACTGTTAGAAGCCGTTATCAGGGAACAACCGGTGAAGACACAGCAGACTGAAAAGTGTGAAAATTCTTCGTGGGCTGTAGTGCTTTGTAAAGTGTGGAGATCAGCGATTGTGCTATAATTAAGTGTAATTACGAGTCGCTTGTTAAAGTGGTCAATAAATTTAATCTCCAATCTAAACCCCCGTCGATAGCCACTAAATCACGTGACAATATAACGGACTGGACAACCGAGTAATCGGAGTTTGATTCTCGACAGGAGTAAGAGAAATTCTCCTCACCGCAACGTCCAGACCGTCTCTGGGCCCAGCCAGCTTCCTATCTAATGGGTGTCAGGGGCTGTTTCCCCGGGGATGCAGCAGCCGGGATGTGAAGCTGACCATTCAGTTCTATCTAGTGCCTGCATTAAGGATGCGTGGATGTTCACCACCACCCCTACATGCATTCAGGACTTAGTGCTTAATTATGCATAGGAGTAAATTTACCCGCCACCTTTTAGATATTACAGGGTTATATACAGACACATTCTTGTAATTTAACATAGAAAAGGGAAGATTAAAAGCTCAAGAATTAACAATTCAAGACCCTATGTTGGACATACGCAGGTCGTAGTAGCCGCGTGGTCTAAGGCATGAGCTGTCGTCGCCCGGATGCCGCTATCGTGGGTTCGAATCCCACTCAGGGCATGTGTATTT